ATAAATAAAAATGAGCGAAATGGTCGCGCGGCGACCAAGTTGCAATTTGGCGCCTCGAACCGCGCGGCCAGGAATACGCGGCTCGCGGCGGGACAGCGGCGAAAATTCACTTTCTGCGTGTATACATCCAGACGGGGGGCTGCGAGATAATAATTTATTTTTCATATTCTTGCCCGACTAGTTTCGCGTCTCGGGGTTCCTCGCCATCTCCGCGGATCCTGGAGCATCTTAAGCGCCGTCCACAACGCCCGGCGTTGGGCGCGCTCTCGCCGTCGTCGCCGAAGTATCGTTCGCCAGTGCAACGGCGTGTCTAACAACCGCCTCGTCGCTCGCTTTCCGAGAAACGAAAATGCTAAAGTATCCTTTCTGCCGTCCCGTATCCGGCACGAGTATCCCGTGTCCTCGAGATTATTACGTGCGTGAGAATAACTCGTCCGCGAGAGCTCGCGAGCGCGCCAATTGTTAAAAATTTGCAGGCAGCGCGAAAGATTTGAACTCGCCGATCCGATGATTCTGTAAATAACGCGGCGTGAAAAGGAGCTTGTTAGGTTTTTTAGTTGAAAAGTCTTCTGTCGCCAGAGACTTTAAGATCGAGACGGAAAGAGGTTTTAAACAGCGCTGGAAAACTTTTTTTTTTTATTGAAATTAAAATGCCACATTTGTTGTCTTTTGTTTGAAAAATATCTCTAAGAAGTCGTGTGCGACCCAGTATCAAATGCGATCCACGGAACGGCCTAAAGCCCGTATCAGACTGCGGATTGAGAGTAGATTTTGAAATTGACCAATCAGAGTAAAATTCACTAAACTTTACTCTGATTAGCCAAATTTCAATCTAATCTCAATCTCAGTCTGACACGGGCTTGATCTGCAGGTTAAAAATTAAGACACGCGGGACTTTTTTCGCGGCGATATTATTATATATATAATAATAATATTGGATATTATATATATATTTGAGGGCAATCGATGCGGTGGCAAAAAGCGATTTAGCGGAGTCCCGCATGGGAATGTCGGTCGCGTAAAATTCCGCGCGCGAGTCTCGGCGTGATGGAAACGGCGCCTTACATCCCTTAGGCCCGGAGCAGCGGAGAACAGCAGAGGCCATTAAACTGTCTACGAACGAGGATGCAGGGGATTTTTACAACGTCCGAGAGAGAACCTACCTACTCTCCGCGCGCGCGCGCTCCTATATTCTTCTTGCTCCTCTTCTTCTCCCCGCTTCTCTTTCTCCATATATATATATCTCTCTCTCTCGCCTTCCTCCTCCTTCTATCTTCCTCTCTCTTTCTTTCTTCTGCTGGCTTCTTGTTTCTCGTAGGACCCACGTAGGACTTTTTCTTCTACGCCCTTCTGGTCTCCGCGGCGGCCCAGCAACGGCCCAGCAACGGCGTCGCCGAACTGGGACCGCAGTCGGCCGCGGAGCGAGATTCTTAAACACGACCTTCCCGAATATTCATCGAGCTTTCAATGAATCTTCATCGTCCGTCGCGTAATAAAGAGTTCAGCTCGTCCAGCACCGCGTAGAAATAAGAGAGAGAGAGAGAGAGCCATACGGGCGCAGAAAAGTCCCTTGTCCGTTCCGAAATGCAGCTCCGAGGAGTTATTAGACCCGGTAATAAGGGACACTAATGATTGACCCAAGAGATAACGCTCTCGACTTAACGTGAACACTCTTCAGCGTAAGCAAACGCCCGATCGCTAATGCCGATTTGCATTCTCCGCAGGTTGGCCGCCGGCTCGCCGCAGACTCCGCCGGACCGCTGGACCAAGGCTCCCCGCCAGGATTTCTGGACCGTCTGCGCGGATAGATCCCGAGGGACGATAGTTATCGGCTATACTTGATGACACTAACCCGTAGATCCGAACTTGTGGGCTTTTTTATATGCATACCGCAAGCTCCTATCTACCGGTACATGTAGTCAGGCCGGCGTTAAAACTTTTCGACGGATCCTCCTCCTCCCCCTCCATCGTCATCAACACCATCACCGCCACCACTACCATCACCAACCACCACCAACCACCACCAACCGCCACCAACCACCACCACCTCCACCACTACCACCTACCACCACCATCATCATCACCAACCCTCCGTTCCCCCGAATGCTCGCGGCACTTCCGGTTATCAGCGACAGACTTCTTGCCGAGTAATTTCCTCGCACGTGAAAAGGGCCCACCACGTTTTGCATCTGCCGACCGTTAAAGCGCGATCGACATGCGTCGTTAAAGTTAAGGGATGCGTCGTCTAAGGAGACTGACTCCTTACCCAAACATGCTGATGTTTACACGCCGACCAAGTGCGCGCTCTTTTATGTATAATGCATTGTAAAGCGGTAGAATGGCGCGTGGCTCTGTATGAATGTGACCGACCTCGTGGTCGAGAGATTCGAAACCACGCGAGTCCGAACCGAGTCCCCGTTAAGCGATCTCGATGTCGTGAGAGATGGCGAGCCAGGAGGAGTGAGACAATGTTAACTCGTCAGAGCAAAGGCACTTCCATTGTAAAGCGATATTCTTATTGTAAGACAAAGCATCTCTTGTAAGACGTCTCTCCGAGATCCAAAGGGATACGGAGGCGGAGGCTCCTTCGTGCGACACGGGCCATTCTTGTAAAGCCAAGAGAAAAAGAAAAGATTGCGAGTCCGTAATTACGATCGACGCGTTCGACGATGTGACAATTGTATCTCGACGTACTCAATTGTATATACGGATATTGTCAATGGATGCGAGTCGCGAATTCGAACGCGCCGAGATTCGCCCGGTGAATTGAGCCGTGGAGGGAGAACGAGGCGAGGCGACCTGTCGAAAAGTCGGTCGGTCGAGAGAGTTAAGGGCGAGGAGAAGAACGGCGGATGGAGCGGCGGACGAGGGAGGAGAAGCCCCCGCGACGACGTCTGGGTGAGGTAGTAGGTTGTATAGTAGGGAATGGAAATTCGCGAGATACGAAGTCCACTGTACAACTTGCTAACTTTCCCGGTCGTCGGCGCTGCGACGTTGCTGCGGCATCGGCACGGAACCGCTCCCGAGGACTCTCGCGAGACTCTCGCGCCGCGAACGAACGGAATCTCTCCGCGGAGGAGACGACGACGCCTCTTAGTTTTATTTATTTGCTTATTTATTTTTTCCTTACGCGAGTATATAAATCGGCGGAGCCTTGCGCCTTACATGAATGCGGTATTTTCTTTTGATGTAAATGCGTACGTGTGTGTGCGTGCGTGCCTGTGTGTACGCGTTTGCGAGTGCGTGTGAGGGAGAGGATAACGTACATTCGTTTTCTTGCTAGTGAAGACAAGTTGCGCGAACGATTTCTTCGGCGCACGCGGAGAAGCCCTTTCGTCCCGGGTTACACGTCCGTTTGTGTACTCTCTATTTGGAGCATTATTATTGCATAACGAGCGCAAGAAATGTGTCCTTTTATTGGCGTTTCCGTTTCTCGTCCTCCAAGCGCGAATCTTGCAGATCCAGAGCTGGGTACCGCTCGAGTCGGTTCAGGGATGTCGGTATAAGGGCGCGACTCGTTGAGACACGGCGTCGAAACAGTTTTCCGGCCTCCACGTTGTCGCCACGATTCCTTTGGGAGATTTTGGGGATAATAATTCGCGACGCACTGTCCGGGGCAGCCGTGAATTTGCATAAGATCCTCTTGAAAAAGAGAAAGGGCGGAACGATCGCGATGCGCGAGGGTGAGACGAAGGGAATGACTGGTGGTGAGAGCGTGAGAGAGAAAGAAAGAGAGTGAGAGAGAAAGAGAGAGAAAAAAGGGCAATGGCGGGCGGGCTGATTGTAAAGCCTGCCGCGTCGCCGGTTCCCTGAGACCCTAACTTGTGACGTCGCGTCCGATATCTCACAGGCTAGATTCTCTGGTATTGGCGATGAGTGCTGCCTTTTGCCGATCAAAAGTCAGTCCTAGCAACAGAGATACAAACGTCATCGCGTTTCGACAACTTGCCGCGCCGCATTCACATATTCTACGTTGGTTTTGCTTTTCTTTTCCTTTACGTCTCCGCATTGCTGTGTGATTGAAGGAAGGAATGTTTACTCGACCCTTCACTGGCGTGTGGCTTGACGGAAACTCGCATCGGTTTCTCTTTCTCAAATGGTCCAAGTTCCTTTAGATTCATTTATCTCGTTCAGCTGCGAAGAGCACCGAAAAGAGGATAAGATGATTTTTATATAAATCGGTGTCTCTCATTTTTAAACACTATAAAGAATTCTTATATCTTGTCTAGTAATATCAGATAAAAAAATATTTAAAGAGATGTGGTTTCGACGTAGAACTCAAGAATCATTAGCTATTAATGAAAGTTTAAATTCAGTTCCACCATCAACTTGCATAAATAAACGAAGGACACGCTGCTCGTGTGACATCGACAGAATCATGTGAAAAGAATGTATTAACGTATTGCATTTCTTTACTAGATGTATTGTTTATTCGAAAAACTTTCATTTACATAATCTTCATGACTTTTATCAAATTTAATTAGAAAATTTTTTTTTCGATGACCTTAGAATTTTATATAATTAACTTCAACATTTATTTCTGTAATACAAAAATATATATATATATATATTCAATCATTATTGATTGGTTATATATTTAACAACTTTGTGTTATATATATGTATATATATATAAATGCTGTTCTCATATATACAAGATCCTAAAATCGACGACATTTAGCATGAAAACTATATACATTGTCTTGAATTTTTGGCAAAAATTAAACCTATTGAATATTGTTCTCTATAAAAAAAACGTGAACATACACACAATATTATCTGTACGTAAATCCATAATACATAAGTAGTTCCTAAAAGTCCACATGCAAATCGATAATACGTAAAACAGATTAAATAATTATCGATATAATGTTCAAGTTCTTTTAATATTACATTATAATTCATGCATTCTGCAACATTAATACTTTTAATTTATACCAAAAAAATCTATTTTTATGTGAACATTTGTAAATTATTTTTCATTATTTTTTTAATGCGATGTTACTCGTAAAATCTATTATTCAGTTTATTGGAAAGACGCGCAAAGAAATTTATAGCCAATAAAGAAATAACACAGTATATCTAAATGATAAAATCTATTTCCCAACAGAATAATTATTCTGTTGAGATTTTTCCATATTATGACTTAAAATAGAAATGATTATACATACTACGTAACATAATAATGACATCGACATGACAAGATGGTTACAATAAAATCTATTTTATTAGCAGTAAAGAAAAATACGGTTTCATCAGAAATATCGTCTTCCTTCCTCAACAAGTTTACTCAACTCTGCCGCTGAATAACCCAGCAATTGCTTCAAATCGCAAACGAATTTGTAGACGAATCGTTTACCGTGAACCTTAGAAATCATGTCGCCGTCATAATAATACCGAAGTGCTCTACTCAACTTCTCGTAATTCATCGACGGCTTATTTTTGCGAGCACCCCATAATTGCGCCACCGCCTCCGGTTTATTAAGTTTGAATTCTCCTTCGGTCCCCACCCACTGAATCGAACTTCTGTATTCTCTATCCGTTAATAATTCCAACAAAAATTGCCACAGCTGTATCTGGCCGCTATTAACGGTACGACTAGAACCGGCAATAGTGATCGAAGTCGGATCGACATTCTCTAATGGCATATTAACTGTACGCGCCTGTTGGTTTACCGTAGATTTCGATTTCGTTACTTTCGGATGTCGTGCTTTAATCGACTTCTCTGCAACGCCTTCATTGGGTGTATCGGGTGCATCTTTTTGTACTACAGCTGCAAGTAAACGACAATCGAATAAATAGAATAAGATCCAATGGCAATTTGGATTTATCAAGAAAATATTTTTACCGGTGTCACACACACGCATATTATATTTCTCATACACATACCGACGAATTTGCATTTCCTAAGAAGTTCGAAATGTGTCCAAAACACGTCTCCTGGATCAAGAGGCACTTTTGCATGAAACTCCTCCATTGTAAGATTACACAATTGCGCACCAGTTATATTCCAGTCAGCCAAACGTAACGATACTATGTTAAATTGTCTAACAGCCCATTGCAGCCAATGTTTCACGTGCGTTTCTGACCAGTCCCTCGGATCATTTGGTATTTTTAATCGTTCCTTTTTTCCCCCCCAAGAAATACATATGCATTTTTAGAAAATTATTGATATACGTTTTATTTTATACAGTCATAACTTCAGGGATAAATTCAGTACTGACGGCAATTGAAAACGTTTGTACACATCTTTTTTTAAATAACGAATACATGCATTTTTTAAATCGGTGAAGTTATGTCCACATACAAAATAAAACACTAATCATATAAGATGTATGTTTCATATATATAAAAATTTCAATTATAATACATAAAATAAACTAGAATTTTTATTACCTGGTCCTTTTTATACTGCGCGTCTATCATCCACTTTATGACATTCCGCTTGTTTTCCTGAGCAGTAGACACCGGTGCTGCACCACAATAAAAACATTATCTATTACAGTTAAACCATAAACAAACATACGTATGTGTATTAATACATACAATTATCTTCCACAACTTCAATATAATCGTCCGCTGGCTTAAGAACGTCCACTATATTGATACGTTTCTGCATTGGCTTTATTTGTACATTAATCTGAACCAGCCCTTCTCCTTGGACACATTGATCGACCAAATTTTTGTGGCTTTCCAGCTGTTGTAATAAATATATCAGTTTCAGACTCAGATATTAAGAAAATTAACACAAGCTTGTCTTAATTAAATCAATATCAAATAAAAGGCCAATAATATTACGAGCGGTAATTTTTACGATACATTAAAATTTAGGTATAATAAAGTTAAAAATTACAATGTTTCCCTAATCTGACTTATATTGGTAACAATTATGATAACGCATTTACTTAAAACTAAGTTTGGTGACGATAAATAATATTAAAATATAAGATTTAGATCTCCTGTACCAGCATTTTGGAATTAAGATTTTCAATGTAAGTTCAACATCGCAATGTACATAATAAACTTGGCGAATTCGGTTGCTTGCACTAGTGCGCACTGAGTGCACATTAAGGACTTTTGTTTATAGTCAATTTCTACATTCAACTTTGTCTTAAATACATGTTCAAAGAGGGTTTAGCCAAAAAATGATCCGTACTGATGCAACACAGATCATTTCATTGACGAAGAAAAATTTCAAGAGGTATTTAAGACAAGCCTTAAATATGAGAATCGACTATAAATAAGCCTCATTGTGCACTCAGTGCGTACTAGTGCAAGCAAACGAATTCGTTATTAATTATCTATTATAATTCTTATCTTACAATAAGAATAAACTTAAGATTTAACTATTAATGACTATTATAGAAGATATGGGACATTGTATTACATCTTGCCGCTTACCATCTGTGCGTTTTGTAACCAAAATGAATAATTCTTTAAATCTATGGTGAGCTTGTCCTCCAAGAGGGTCCTCAACTTGGACAAGGGCTCCCTAATGTCCATGTGCTGCATTAGCACGCCGTCGTTGAAAATATCGCCGTTCAGGGAGCCCTCCAAGGCGAAGTTGGGCTCGACATCCAGATCGGAGCTATCCTGTTGCAGCTGCGCCATAATATCATCCTCAGATGGTGAGAACATTGGTTCTGGCTCCATTTTAATTTGCCGTATCATAGCATACTCGGAATCGTCATCGGTGTCGAAGCTAAACGAGAAGCGGGACAAGATAAATATCATAGAACAGAATACGCACCCGCAGATTAGGTTATACCTAACAAGGCTAGGACATTAACTCCTTCGTTAACCTTTTCTCAGAATCTTTCCGGCGATTCTCCAGATCCATGCTCCCCAATCAGGTAAGCGACTCGTATTTTAGGTTAATATTCCTCGCCAACCTTAGATAAACCAGTCATCCGTGTCACCAATAAACACGTCTCGAGTGTCGGACGCTTTGTATACCCAGAAAGAAATCTGAGAGCGGCCACGCCGGCGTTTTACTTGATACATACCGTTTTCTTCGACTGATTCCAGCGCTTTACGCCCATTTTCATTTTTGGAACTATTCCACTACACCCATTTTCCCATTTTCAAGCACTGCCGATAAAGTCTCCACTTGGTGCGTGTCCGTGCTACGCCCATTCTTAAGAGGGTAATGCAGTGCCTAATTTTGGTTGTGTCCTGCATGCATGAAATGTCGGTAACACGAGAGTGTTATTGATTTATCGCAACGGGAGCAAGCGAGAAAGTATAAAGCTGCCATTTCAAGAAGCGAAGCTAAAGGCTTGTTTTCTATTACTGCACTGGTGAACTAGTGCAGTAAGCTAGAATGAGAAAAAATATACTTGTCCTACTCTAACTTATTGCACTAGTTCACCAGTATAGCAACAGAAAACAAGCCTTAAGACTGGGTCTACATAGGATGTAGTAAATCGTGTCGGAAGAAATTGACCAATCACAGTACATTATTCTTCGACAGTAAGGAGAATTTTTGATAGTGCCACCTCTTTGCTGACCATGTTCTCCTGATACTTTGCCAGTTTTCTCGATTCTCGATTTTCGCGATTTAAAGTTTGAAATTCTCGGAAATCCAATTCTTGGAATTTTAGATAGTGCCACCTCTTTGCTAATCATGTTCTCCTGATACTTTGCCAGTTTTGCGAATTCTCGGAAATTCAATTCTTGGAATTTTAGATAGTGCCACCTCTTTGCTGATCATGTTCTCCTGATACTTTGCCACTTTCTCGATTTTCGATTTTCGCGATTTAAAGTTTGAAATTCTCGGAAATTCAATTCTTGGAATTTTTGATAGTGCCACCTCTTTGCTGATCATGTTCTCCTGATACTTTGCCAGTTTTCTCGATTCTTGATTTTCGCGATTTAAAGTTCGAAATTCTCGGAAATCCAATTCTCGGAATTTTTGATAGT